AAATGGCTGCTTGTTAATTAATTGTTAATCAATTTATAAGATAAATCAACTTCTGATTAATTCATTTTCAGTAACTTGCATCCTTAAGGAGTTAATTTACTTTATATCTACTCATATTCATGTAATTAATTGTTTTAATGATTTTGCCGATTAATCGAAAAAAACAACAGATTAATCAATTATTAAAATAATTGTTAGTTGCAGCCCTACAGGCTATACATTATATTTTAAATTGTGTTGATAGATAAATAAATTACAGAACTTTATTTTCAATGTTTGTTGTATTTTAAGCGGAGAGTCAGTCTGCCTGGTGGTATTAATCATATTAATCGTAAAATTAATCGTATTAATCGTAAAAGTAATAGATTGTTTTTCTTATGATTAATTGCACACGATATGATCATGCCCAACCCTAAATCTGAAGTATTTCTTGTCATTTCTTTTAACAGGGATAAACAAAAATGAAGGCAATGCATCCCAGAGTATTGCCTCTTTAAACCAAGGAGGAGGTGCAGCCAACATCTCATCAGTTCAACAGAGCCCATCAGCTGTACCTCCAGATGACAAAAAAACAATAACAGGAGTACCTCCAGATGACAAAAAAACAATAACAGGAGTACCTCCAGATGACAAAGCAACTCCCACTGAACCAAAACTAAGTCCTCAGAGCAGGAAAGATACAGTGACTGTAATTGATTCTTCTATTGATAAAACACCTGATGCAACAAAAGCAAAACAAGCTTCGCCAACAGACAAGCCAACTCCTTCACAAGTTGCTTCACCACAACCAACCACACACCCTCCTGCAGAAGCTCCCACCTCCTCAGCCAAAATTCCAGAACCAACTAAAACTGAACCAGATGATCTTAGCACGCTGAATGCATTCACCACAGCTAGCATKGATTCTGACCAGCTGCTAATTAGTAAGCAACCCGTCAGTGATAAGATGGATGAGAATGACGAAAATGAGAATGACGATTACAATGACAATGAATTGCAGAGCGAWAATGATACAGATTACAATAAAAATGAGCTGGACCAAAAGCAGCCGATTAATGAGGTGGAGGTGAATCGTTACACTGAAGTTGACAAATACAGCCCAGAACAGGAGGACTCCCACTTCTTCTTTCATCTGATTATCGTGGCCTTCCTTGTGGCCATTGTCTACATCACTTACCACAACAAGAGGAAGGTGAGTGTTGGCCTGTCAGCACCTGTTCTTGGTGTAGAGAACAAGATGTATTGTTTTAAATTGCGTAGGGATGAACATTTTTTATCAAAACTCCCACCATCCAGTGTTGCAAACACAAAATTAACATGTTTCACACAACATTTGCTCATTCTTTACTCACACAGAGCTACACAAGTGTCAGCAAGCAAAAAACTATTTAAAAGCAGAGAAAGTCGTTTTAATGAGCACTAATCTTTGCTGCCGCTTTATGATTTCAAACAGTTGCCTGTTTTGTGTTTTCTTAATAAATGGTGTTTATGCAGTTAGTATTCAGTGAATTAAAGTTTACTGACTGTCATTCCTGCAGTTGAGGACCCTTTAACATAGTCCTGGGCGATAAAACGWAAAATAACCGATACCGACATTTATGTCGATAACCGACACTATTTTGCCTGTGCCGGTATTTTCGGTATTTAAAAACTGAGAAAAAGAGAAATCTGCTCATTTTCTGTTGCGGTCTCAAGCCGCCCAGTCTGATACAGATGTTRCGTTCAACAAATCAGAGTCAGAGCAGAGCAGGGTGGGACTTTCTGATGTCGGTGAAGCAGTCAGGATAAACACCAGTCAGCCTGCAGCTCCTGTCCTGAGCGAACAAACCCCGTCCTCCACACTTCTCTCCCGAGCTACCCGAGACGTTGATATCTAAAATCTAACACACTATAAGTTTATGTGTTCAGAGCTTCGTTGTCTAACAGATTATGTCCAACTTTGCTCGCGTGACCAAACTCCTCTCCTCGACAGCGCTGTTACAGGAGCGCGCCGAGGTGCACACAGGCTGAGTTGTTCTGAGAGAGCCACTGTTTCAGTTCTTCTTACGAAACAATATTAACTCTAACAGTTGAACATTTGTTTGTCCCGTATTACAGAAAAGACATCTCCGCTTAGTGGAAAACAAAACAAAACAAAAAAAAAAAACCCCACTATGTTCCCACTATGTAGTTTATCATAAACATTACAAATTTCCTTCTTCACAATATAGCTTGGTTATATTTAGAACCATACTGTGACTGAACTGCTCTGTGATTCAAWAAATGATCAAATATGAAGAATAAATTGTATTAAATAATTACATGAGCTCTCTAAATAATATAATCTTTTTGAAAGAAATAGTTATTTTTAATAGAGAAATCAGTCAGTCTAACAAAATAAAACATGTATTTAAGTTATTTTGTGCAGTACAAAAAGACATATTCTTTTAAATATAAAATTATACGTAATGTGTTTGTTTGCACTGAATAGTTATAATAAGAAGATGGTTAAATATTTGTTTCACTATATCTGACTCAAGTCTTGCCAAAATATTTTTTATTAAATATTAAAAACACTAAAATGACAAATATAAACTACAGTAAATGTGTTCAAAATCTAAACTGTACTTGGACTAAGAACATGGACACAGTGTATAGTGAAATAACTATACTAATACTGTGTACTTGTGTGTGGGGTGGTAAGAGTTATCGTGCGTTTATCGTCATCGAGGTGAACTGGTCAATATATTGCAATATTGATTTTAGGCCATATCGCCCAGCTCGACTTTAATGCATAATGGTGTTGTACCCTGGTTCTTGATCCACGTTCTGTTTCAAGTAGCATGTATGGATCTGCTGGTGTGTGTACGTCACCCTTTACAAAATAATGAAGTGATCTACCATAAATGATCATCATGATAAAATACAGRTTGTCAAGTATTTTGAGCAAGGTTTAGTAACATTCAAGTGAATTTGGACGTTGCTAGAGTAAGGATTGTAATTCTACAGCCTTTTATTTTCTCTGCCAGCTTATCAACCAGGAACTATATTTAACTTGATCAGCAGATGTACATCAAGCATATTTATTTGATTTCCGTCAGCGTTTTTTTCCACACAAACCCAAATCTGTCCTCCCATTTGTTTTTTCTTTTTTTAGATCCTCTTCCTGGTGCAGAGCCGGCGATGGAAAGATGGTTTATGTTCTCGTGACACGGTGGAGTATCACCGCCTGAGCCAGAACGTCAATGAGGCCATGCCGTCCCTCAAGATGACCCGAGACTATATTTTTTAATCAGCTTTTCAGGAAATGAGTTGTGTGTGTAAACTAAGCGAAGGGGCCCTTCTGCCTGATCAATTGCATTAAATTCTGTGCTTTGTTGCCATTTTCTTTGATTTCATAGATCTATAGGAGATATGGGGATGGTATTTTTGGACTATAATTACATTTATTTTGGCCTTCCTGGTATTATTTTGCTTTTCATATTTATATTTAWTATTTTATTTGATCATAAAGCTTTTTTATTGAGGTTACCTCAGCCTTACTGTCTCTTTAAGGGCTGTTTGTTTTTGTTAGTCTTTAATGCTTAAAACAAGAATAATTATAATCTTTAGGTCAGATTGTCATTCCTTATTGTTATTTAGTCATTTTTTTATCAACCCACAAACATTTTTTTACTTGAATTTTCACTCACAATTACAGATTTTATTTTTAAAACCCTTTTAGGCAAAAGTCAGCTTCAAGGACTGTTGAACTGATTTTCACTACGTATGTTTCTGGGGRCATTTTAGCTGAAGAAACACGGTTGCCTGTTTGTATTTGAGAACTAAAATCATTAAATTGTTGCAGACTGGGCTGCACGCAGTATACAGTTATATTGCTAGTAATCTTAAGCTAACTGGTGGTCTTAACTGATTAAGCAATTTAAACACAGATTGATCCTGTGAAAATATAAAATAATAGATTATAAATAACTACTATTTCCATATGATTATTTCTTTAGATCTCTATCCTAACAGGTACTACAGCAGATTTTCTGTCCTTTTTGTTTCTGACTTCAGTGAAGTTTCTGTCACATTTTTGCAGATTTTTGAATTTTATTTCCCATTAGATTTTTGCTCTCATCAATAAGTTTGCACCCACTGTATGTCCACACGTATAGTTTTGATGCCATAGAATCTAAACATGTTACGAGTCTTGTTTGGCGCTTTCAGGTGTCTTTGTGTGTCTCACACRTCTACAGTGTGTAGGCAAGTTTGCACTGTGCTGCTCAGTCATGCTAGCTAAAATATGAGGGGACGTTTGACACTAATGATCAATTTTGCGCCTGCAATCAACTGTAGAAAGTGAACAATTTTTTTGTCAGTAAAGCACAAATTCTATAAACACTTTTTATGGTTTCTTGTGATGTGCTCAGATAACTTTTTAAAAATTTTATTACAGATGTGAAAAATGTTTACTGTTAAAAATCACATTCAGAAGGTAAAAGGAGCAGAATTTTATTGCAAAGGAGAATTGGTGACATTTTTTTGCTTGTTGCGCAAATGTTTTATTTAAAAATTGACGTGTTGATCTACAACTGATCAACTTTTTTAATCAACCAAAATGAAGGTAGCTGCCACAGCTTGTCAAAAGAACATACACAAGCATATGTATAACTTAGTTTTACAGATATTGTGCTAACATTTAATGTAGTCACAGCTTGTGTCATCTGTTGGTCTTCATGGGAGACTTTAGTATGAGCTGTGAAAACAACCACAAGGAGGCAGTGTGCACATGCAAATAAATTCTGAATCTCAGATTAGTTTCCTTGAACAAATTAAATGTTGGAAGAGTGTCAGTGTGTGAGCGATGTGGCAGAAAGCAGTTGTGTGTGTGAGACTGACTCAAGAACGGGAGAAAAGTCATTTTGCACCTGCTTTTCTTCATCCCKCTCGAGTGTCGTGCAAGTATCATATCAATGTAATAAAGAAGGATTTAAGCTGAAAATCCTCCAATATTTCCTGTTTCTAGTGCTGCGCTGAGCTAACAATGTTCTATGACATACTAAATGGAGAAATATTGAGCATCGGGTATTGCTCAGCATTTGAAATGGACCTAAAAGCTGTAGAACTGTATTGTGTGGGTTTTTTGTAAGCAGAAGCGATGATTGTATATATTTGAAGTGGTCTTGCTTTAATAAACAGCTGATACTGTCTGATCAGAATCTAACAAACCACTCTTAAATGATCTCATTTTAATCTGACTTTTTCATAAAACCTAAGAGTTTGTAAATTCAGYGTTACAATGTTGAAATTTAGTTTGATTATTCTGTAAAGCGAGGTCATCTGCTGCAACAGAATATGATACTAGATATCCTCAGTGATCTGACGATTAGATGCATTTGATTTAAAACTGGGCACAAATTTGAAAGTTTTTATTTCTTTTTGTGTTTTTTCTATAGATTTTTTTTGTGCAGACCAAACAAGTTTTACAAGTATCATGGACAATAATCTCATTATTTATGAATAGTAAAATATTGAGAATATTTAATCATTTGCAGCAATATATTAAACGACTGCAGTTTAAAAAAGCACTGTGCATCTTGTGGAAGATATACTTTAATTGAGTTGTAAAGTTGAGCCAAGAGTATTCTCCAAACATCATTTTTGGTTCTGACTTATGGTTTTTCAGTTATTTCAATCTGTACTTTACATGATTTGATGCTCAGGAGGTTGCTCCACAGAATCACTCCATCTGAACTCAGCAGCGTTTGTGATTTCTTTGACCTCTCCCACCGAGGAGGCAGCTAATAGGCCGGACCGTGTGATCTGATCTCAACAGCGTGTTGCTTTGATAAGCTCTGGCCTCAACCCAACAGTTTTATCTGCAACACCCCCACATCTCCTGCTGCTCAGTGTATTGACGTCTTCATGAGGAGAAAAAAAAAAGAGATATACCTGCTGGAATTGGGTTATAAAAGTGGGCTGATCTAAACAAGCAAAGGCAGAAAATACAGAAATTATTAAGGCAGACTGGTCAATATCACACAACTGTCCTTGATGGCTAGTTTCACTGAAGTGATTCCATTTATATATTCTGAAGGCTAACATTGCCCCAGGTTCTACTGCTTTTTTATATTTCACTTTCAGACGCTAAATCTGCTGCTTTAAGATCCAGAAGCTGTCGTTTGATTAGGGATGACCATATCTGCCAGGATTTTGCTTGTACGCGCATCACTATCAGAATAAARCACACTCTCAGGATAGATTAGCTGTAATTAATTAAAGCAAAGATTGGGGTTTTGTCGTGCCTGTTAGTAGAGGATAATCTGCATCATAGGGAGGTATTAGATGTTTAATTATCCCCTTGAAACAWGACAAAAACAATCAGATAATGTGATTAATTACACAGTTCTACTGAGTTTAAAATTTAAAATGAGTTTTGTTTTACTAAATGACAATCTCCCAGCATGAGCACAGTTTGAAACTAAAAGGATATAATGCTGAGAAGGGACAAAGTTATAAACAATTTTAGTTAAACCTTGTGAATGATATTATCTCATGGAATATTGTTAGATTTTGCAAGATGTGTTAGCACTCAAAGTWTGTGTTGTAAATGAATCACTTCTGCTAACACACCAAATTTTAGTGCAGTATCTGTAAAACTGTCTGCTGCTCATTAAAGAATTCAATTGAGGTGGTTTAGATCATATGTTGATCACTTGTTTGAATAAATCTGGATTTCCTTGAAATCTGTTGGAGGGATCAACTCTTCCAGCTCAATGATGGGAAACTTGTGGCTTTTGTCCTGCTTGCTCTCCCCCATTTTTTTTAACCAAAAAAAGCACTCATTTTTGAAAATTACAAAACTGTATAAAGGTGACTCAGTTATCACTGAATTGGTTGTAATGACAAAGGTTGCCACTAGATGGCGTCTCCAATGCAGACGCCTCCTGGTRGGTGATACCGATCTGGTACCAAATAAATCCGGGAAGTAGTAGTAGTAGCAGTAGTAGTAGTATTCATTTAACTAAAATAAACAAAAACAAAACACATTTACAAACAACAAAACAATACAAATCAAATAAAACAAAATTTAGCAGAAGAAGAAAAAAATTATCTAGTATTGCCGACCGAGACCGATGTCGATCCTTTTCCTTAGATGCCATTTTCATTGAATAATTTGATGATTTTTGTCTTTAGTAAGTCGAACATGGAAAAACAAGGGACAAAGATTTTAGGCAAAAAAATGTTTCTATTAAGTAACAAATCAGTTTAATTGAATGGAAATAATTAAATAATTACTCTACTACACAATTTGTTTAAAGAAAGGAGGGGTTTCATCTACTGATGAACTCAAAACGATTTGAGACTTTTTGTCTTTAGTAAGTCGAACATGGAAAAACAAGGGACAAAGATTTTAGGCAAAAAAATGTTTCCATTAAGTAACAAATCAGTTTAATTGAATGGAAATAATTAAATAATTACTCTACTACACAATTTGTTTAAAGAAAGGAGGGGTTTCATCTACTGATGAACTCAAAACGATTTGAGACTTGAGCCGATGCTCATCTTGGTACCGATATACTTTGATTGATATGACCACCCCTATAGAGCACACGTCTCTACCATTGAGAAAGTGACTTTAGCCATGGCTAAGAACAGAGAAAACTGGACAGATAAAATCATGTTTCAGATGAAATGGGAGGTAGACTATCTGGTGACAGAATTTCAAGGCAAACGTGTGTTTAGTTTGCTTTGAGAGTCTGCTATGAAGGAGTTTAAAATAAGTCACCACTACAACATGCTGCACAAAGCTAAATACGTATGAGAAGTTTACTGAAGTCACAAGTACATAAACAAGAGCTACTTTTTACCAGAACTACAACTACGCAGGAGTTTGCACGCAAGGTGTTTCATGCCGTTGCACCTCAGCTTGCTAAAGTGTTTATTTTTTATTTGCTTCAAATGATTTGTATTCATATTTATTAAGATTACAACTGTCATACATGTGATTGAGCATGAAGTATTGTAACGCATACATGTCAACTTGTACGGATTGTCCGTAARTTATAAGGATTTTGCATCATTTTGCAGGTATACAGACGTATAGAGCAATCTTACGGATTTTTTCAAGTCTTACGGATTTTTTCAAAACCTCATTTTCAAATTYGTGTAACATGTCAGAGCCTGTAGGATGATTTAAAAAACAATAAATAACATTAAATAGCCATCTTCCAACCTGTTCTGTTGCTAGAAATAAGTTTCGAACTTTTTCCGCTCTACTTTCTTCCTGCTTCGCAGCAGGTGGGCAGCCGACAGCCCCCACCAGCGGGTGCGATTTGTACAGATATTTTGCAAAATTTACGGATTTTTTTTGGCTTTTTATACAGGCAAACGTCCGAAGAGGTTGATACGTATGGTAACAGCACTGCATGATGGTTTATTRAACACACACACACGTACACAAACCTTTTTAGAATGCCAATTTTACCGGCTACCCATGAAATCTGATTGGCCACCCAGCCACACCAGAACTGTCAATCACTTTGTTTGCATAAAACAGATATATACAGCTGTCACAATCCTTGAGTATTGTAGATATTCTGCAGAAACGTAATTCTACTTTAGCACACATGGCAGATGTCTTTGGTGTATAGTGAGACTGTGATGTATCCAAATTTCTATTTGTGTTCTGGATGTCCCAGATTTTGAAACGACTGCATAGTTCTAGCATGCAAAACCCATTAATGTTCAGTTTGGGTAAAAAAAAAAAAACGTTGATTATTCATGTTCGGGCGTAGTGTTCATTGTAAACTAAGACCACAGGGAATTTAGTTAAAATATTAATTTTACTGTGCCACCCTTCTACAGTCTGCCCCCCAAGAAATAAATTCTAGACACACCCTTGGGGTAAGTGTTCAGTGCCATGTGGGCTGTGGATGACTCTGCTTTCCAACCCTGAACTGAACACAGTTTATCTGAATGCAGTGTGAAGAATGAACGAGGAGATGTTTGTAATCAGTTTATATGAGGCGTCTCTTGTCTTCACCTCTATGYATATACCTGGGTTGCTTCTCCAGCTGTATTAAATCCCCACCTGCCCAGCTTCAACCAAGTGTTGAAAAGAGTGACTCAATATATTGACAGTCCAGCTTTTGAATTTGCCAACATCTATTTTCAGCTTCTCAGATTTGTGTGTTTTCTTTGTTGACAAAGCGTATTTTCTGCTTCTCAACACAGTAACCTTCTGCTCTCCCTCTCTCTCTGTTCAGAGTAAAAATACAGAAGCTACCCTTCTCCACGGCATCAGAGAGGTTGTGGGGAGATTGCGGGTGGAGGTGGGGGCTCAGCCATATGACGAAAGGCAAAGAAATGACTAAAGGGGTGAAGAAAGTGAAAAGACAGAAAAGTCTTGTTTAAATCTGACAGAGATTCTAATGAGAGGCATCACACTGTGCTGGGAAAGTGCCCTTCCACAGTCTGCGAGAACGTCCTGGCCAATCCCGGCTGGTAATTGGTCAACAGGAGAAGGTCGTCAGCTGATGTGGTTCACCTGCTCCTTCAGGCTATGAAAGCTGGCATGTGTATTCTGTCTGTCCTGTCTATCATAAGTGCTAAAAAGAAATATGCTTTTATATTTTTGGCTCTCAGATTCTGTTGAAACAATTTATCTCCCGCCTATATACAGACCATAGCTAAGCAACCTAAAATGGATGAATGTATAATCGGCTTGTAGGGCAAACAATGGAAGAATAAGAGAGTTACTTGTGTCTGAGTCGTTTCGTGATTTTCACAGTATTTTTTTCTTCCCCGCAGTCGTTGGAAAAGCCAACACAATAGTTTTAAATATCTCAATTTTCAAAGCAGACATTTGAAGTGTCCCTGTCCCATCGAGTAATAAACACAAATCTGGAGTGGAAAGTGTTGATGTTTCCAATTCCGTCTCCATGTGATCCCTCACTGTACCAGTTGCTTTAAGTCCCGCATCAAAGTTCTTGTCACAATCTGCTTCACATTGCTTTTACTTTTATTTTTCCCTGTCTCTGCACTTTGAGCATTTAACAGTTCTTGTCATTTGTCTTTTTTTCTTTTAATCCATATCCATTCCTTACTCAGGRGAGTGTTTCTATCCATCAAACCGAGATCTAAAAACAACTCCTGCTTTTAAATATTTGACAGTGTATGCCTTCCTCCAAGATGATTTCAATCTGAACATTTCATTTCAGTCTCA